TGGATCTGGACTTTTCTGTATGAAAAACTAAACTACACATTAGTTAGATATTTTTGGGAAGTTCGTTTTCTCCATTTCAATTCCAGGCTAATTATTTTTAGTTTGGCGAAAAAAAATTTTTTTGTCAATTTTATCGTAAATTTGGCTACTTGCACCAAGTTTACTATTATATGCATGCATAACTGGTGGGATTCCGCATGTTTCAATTTTCAAAAAAATTAAATTACCATGAATTTTAAAAATCGATAACAGTATGGGATGACCGTGCATACCGGCACTCTGTTACAGGATTTGACTGATCTTGGACTAATTGGTGAGGGTGCTTACGGTCGCGTGAATAAGATGCGGCACGATGAAACGGGTCGATATATGGCAGTTAAAGTAAGGATTTTATTGGTGGCGAAAGATTAGTTTTAGTTGAAATAATTCGAAAAGTATTCCCTAATTAATGAGTAATATTTCAATTAGATTCGTTGTAAAATTTCTTTGAACTTGTGAAAAGTTGTGAAATTTTCTTTTTTTTTGCATTACCATTTCCTTCCAGAAAGTTCGTATAATTTCGGGTAAAAATGACGATGGCGAAGCCAATCGTTCAATGAAACGCCTAAGACAGGAAGTTGATGCGATAAAAAAAGCCTCAGACTGTCCTCAAGTTGTAACTTTTTACGGCCTTACCTTTCATGAGGTTAATTCATATTCGTGAATTATGAATGTTAATTTTTAGTTATTATTAAATGTTGCCGAAATATTAAGCTTTAAATAATGTAAAAACAAAAAATTCATAAAACTGATGTTGGACCGGAATGAATCAGAACTAGTCTGAAACTATATTTTCCTTCTTTTTTTCCTGATTGGCTATTTTTATTGAGTAATATTTTTTCTTTTTGAAGGTTTAGTCGCTTAAAAGTAACAATAATTTTAGGGAGACTGTTTGGTTTGTATGGAATTAATGGATATATCACTGGAAAATTTATATAAGACCATTCATAATCATACTCGTGGCGTTTTTGATGAGCGTATACTTGGGCATGTTGCAGTGTCGGTATGTTATTATATATATATAGGTAAACAGATGGACAGATAGATAGATTTTTTTCAGTTGATTACTTAAAAATTCAACTTGTATTCAATCAGTTAATCAATTAATCATATACTGATCACTATTTGATCATGAATGGTGCATAGTAAAATATTGGTTCATATTTTATTTATATGGATATGACATTATATGACATTTGGGAAATCTTTTTTCTTTGTTGTTTATTATCAGATCACAGATGAGTTATAAGCAGAAATATTACTAACGATCAAATAAAGGTAAAAGCTCTATAGGATACTTTCTAATGATTTGCGCTTTTCCATTTTATTTTATTTCCTTCAAATTATTTTACGATAGTATGTGTTGAATTGTATTGTTTCAGATTCTTAAAGCGTTAAATCATCTGAAAAATGAAATTAAAATTATCCATCGAGGTATAATTTTATAAATTTTTGTCATTCAAGATTTCTTTATTAAAATAATTTTCACTTTAGCACATTTTTTTTTCGAGTATTTACTTATATCAAAAATCATATGTCAGCAGTTTTCGGCTACTTTTCTGATTGATGAAATTTATCATGCTAAATAGTTTTAATTAAACATTTTAGCAAATTGTGGTAGCCTTTAAGGAATTTGCATTTATAACAATAAGGATTTGTATTTAGGTCAATAGGATTTGTATTTAGGTCAATATTGGTAGCTGACGCTAAATGCTCTCGTATGACCAGGTAAATAAATGAGAGAAAATAATTGTCACAAAAGCAGATACCATGGAATTTTACCAAATAAGACGAAATCTCACAATTATTTGAATGTACCATTTTAGATGTAAAACCATCCAATATCTTATTGAACCTACGCGGTAATATTAAACTTTGTGATTTCGGAATATCTGGTTATTTAATAAATTCTGTGGCACAAACACGTGAAGCAGGATGCCGACCATATATGGCAGTTAGTTTTTTCATCGATAATTTGTATATTATGAATACTAATACCATGAAAGTTATAGTTTTTTTTTCCCCTCCACCCTCGAAAAAGTAATACTTTTTTTTCAAAAAAATTTGTTGAAAAAAATTTAATAAATTTCGGAAACTATTGGTTAGCTGATTATACTAATTGTAGCCTGAAAGATTGCTTACAAATGCTGCATATGATATACGTTCTGATGTTTGGAGCCTAGGAATTACACTGGTAAAGCTAATTAATTTATTTCAATCATAATAGGATATAAATTTTTTGTTAATTTATCAATAATGATTAGGGATGGAATTATTGAACAGAAGCCAATAATACAAATAAGATTAAATTATCATCTTTTATTCCATCTATTGGTTCAAATCATCAATGTTTTATTTATTTTAATTGATAGTGATAAAGTAACAATCACTTTTTTTTTCTTTATTTCCTTTTTTACAGCAAGAAGTAGCACTTGGTGTATTTCCATATCCAAGATTTAACGAAAATGAGCTTTTTGTACAACTTCAACAGGTTGTTTATGGAGATGCGCCAATAATGGGTCCATCGGATGTATATTCAATTAGAACAGTTCAATTTATCAATTCGTGGTGAGTATATTCTAATTTTCTTTTTTTTTTTATACTAATATCGTTTTTAACTGTCTTGGAAGGATTTTATCACTGTCAATTAAAATTTTATTTGTTTCATTAAAAGAAAAAAAAAGAAGAATTATACGGATACTTTTAAGCCTTGTCAAAGAAACAGAAGCTCGACCAAATTATGTGATGCTTATGGAGATGGAATTCTTCAAATATTATGATAGCCTAAATGGTACTTCAGAATATGTTGCAAATTATGTACAACATGCATTAAATTTACAAAAACAAAGTAATTTATAGTTTTTTTTAATGCTATAAAATTTTACAAATTTACTCGCAAATTTTTTTTTTTATTTTTTAAATTTTGCCTTATTTATTTGCCACATATTGTTGTATTAATTCTTCCTTATTTTTGAGATGCTTTCACTATCTTTTTACCTATTGCCTAAATCTTTCAAATCTATCTAACAAGGAGAAATTGTCTATTATCATATGGGATAATTAGTGATTATTAACATTTGCTTTTGTTACAACTACGATGCATTTAGACCATTACATGCATTTAATTTTCTGTTTTTCCTTTTCTTTTTTTCGTTTTTCGGAATGAATTCTGCAAATTTTTGATTATTTAGAGTCATTTTAGGAATATAATTTGTAAATTTGTAAGATTTAAAAACAAAGATCCTGCATAGATTCGTTCATTGGTCAAAGAATGACAGGATTTGTGATAGTATTAAATTTCGTTCTACATTTTCAGTATTCTTTTATTGTAAATACTGTCAATTTTTACATTCATTTTATCGTACTAAGGCATTTTTAGCAGGAAATTTATCATTGAACAAGGATTGTTTGGTTGAAAAGTTGAAGTTATAAGTTGAAAATTGAGTTGGATAAAAATTTTAGCCTATTAAAATCAAATTAATTGTTTTCATAATTAAATTGTTTAGCAAAGATAGTAATAATGAGAAAGTTTGACAAACTTGCTTCATGCGTACATTCATACATTTGCAATGCATAATTTATTTTAATGTTTTGTTATTTTTAACAGTTAATGAATGATAATTTATTGTTAATTAGTTTCTGTAGCACTTCTTTTTGCTGATAAATTTGTTATATTAAATTTTATAAATGAACATTTTATATGGGAATATTTTTCTGTGATACTTTCTTCATTTATCATTCATTGTTAATATAATATAATATATTATCAAATTGAATAATCAGTGAGGGAAAAAAAAGGATAAATTGATATTAGATTATCATATTGATTGGATTGGTAAAACTTCAAATATTTCATCTTTTGGATTTTTTTTTCTTCCCTCTTAATTTCTACCACATCTTTCAAACTTTCCTTATCGTTTGTTTTTTTTTTCCCACACATTAATCCTGAATGATAGGAATGAATGCTTATCATTTTTTTGTAAAACTTTTTGTTGTCATCTTAATCATTATTGATCCCCAATAATGAATGAAAAGATCAAATTATTGTTATTTTATATACTTTTACTTTTTCTTTCCTTTTCTCTTCTTCCAATAATTAGCTCAATGAATACTTATGATGAGTATTTATGTGACATATATATCTTGTATATGTTGACATTATTCACTTATTATTGTCTTATTTTACAAATATATTGCTTATTTTCAGTCTTTTTTTTTGCTCAAATTTTGCATGTTGTAATTGATTTTTAAATTTATCAAATGATTAGTCATACATTTTTTATTTTGCTGATTAAATCATTTTTTATCCATTATAGTGTATTCACAATGATAATAACATATCATTATCATCAATCAAAAATAACTTATCAAATTTGATTATTATCAACGAAATTTCGCCTAATCAAATACATTCATACAGCAATGTGAAGGGCGAAATGGACGTAATAATGGGACAAAATGAAAAGAAAAAGAAAAAGTTTTAACATTTTTCAAAAATTCAATGAGAAAACAAAAAATGTTTTAATTGAAATTTGCAAATATTGCTTGTATAATAGCAAAATTTGATTATAACTTTGCCAAAATTAATAACTTTGTCACTCATCTCAGCAAAAGTTGTTAAATTTATTTCAATGGATCATAGATTAATTTGATATTAAAATTCAAAAAAAATCCGTACTTCCTGAGGTAATCGTCGAATAGATGATTGAAATTTAAAATTACGACAAACGAATAATAATTTCCATACAGGGATGATGTCATTTTGATCTTGTCATGAAATAGGAAAAAGTGATTTTGCTAAATATTAATTCAAAGTTTATTTTTAGTTTTTCATATTACTGAAACAAATTTTGGAATAATTAATTCGATTTTACACATACTTTCTTCACTTTTTTTTCCATTTTATCCCTAATATTTCATCATTTTAACATTCATTATCAAAGTAGCATTAATTTTATTTTAATATGAAAGTAAAAAAAAAAGAAAAAATCGGTAGTGTTGTTCCATTTTGTCGTATTTTATGAAATGAGAAAAATGATAAAATTTTAATTGTTTGCAGGGAATTGATTTATTGATTTCTTATAATATATTCTGCAAATATTTAAACTTTAATTTAATTTCTTTTTTTTTCCAATCCGTAGCACTAATAATTTTCTTGTTTGTGTTTCTCTCATTTTTTGATATCTCCTTATAATAGTGAATTTTAAAATTTGAAAATATCATTGAACACAAACTACTGTTCGATTTATGACGACACATTTTGAGATATTCAAGACTTACTAAATAATTTGATTCAATATATATTATTAAAAGTCAAATTAAATTAGCATGAATAATATTAATTTTAGTTGGTTAGTTTTATTTTTGTCACACTTTTCAATTCATTTTTAAGTGTATTTGCATTTTGATTATAGGATAATGCAAATGCAATGGAACAGTTTGAAGTATCCATGAAAAATTATGAAAGAAAATTATATATATATTAATAATTTAATTTATATTTTATCTCAGTTCATGAATGAAGTGAATGTAATTTCTGTATGTTTTAAATGATAAATGATCAAATAAAGCGATAAATGGGTAAATTTTCATTTTATTTTATTTAAGTTTTTGAATGAAATATTGAAATTTAGAATTGAAATCATTACCTAAATCTGTTAAAATTTAATTACAATGTTTAAAAATATAAATATATTACAAAGTACTTTGATTCAAAACCTTTTTAAATTCACATATATTATTATTATTATTATCATAATTCCTATTTTTATCATTTATTTTTGCTCAAATTTTACTGAACGTATCATTATCATTATATATGATTATACATTACATTT